GGGGATATGGGATGGTCAGATCCCCAGTTCAGACTGTACCTGGGGATATGGGATTGTTAGATCCCCAGCTCAGACTGTAAATGGGGATATGGGATGATTAGATCCCCAGCTCAGACTGTACATGGGGATATGGGATGCCTAGGTCCCCAGTTCAGACTGCACATGGGGATATGGGAAGGTCAGATCCCCAGTTCAGGCTGTACATGGGGAAATGGGATGGTTAGATCCCCAGCTCAGACTGTACCTGGGGATATGGGATGGTTAGATCCCCAGCTCAGGCTGTACATGGTGATATGGGATGGTTAGATCCCCAGTTCAGACTGTACATGGGGATATGGGATGGTTAGATCCCCAGTTCAGACTGTACCTGGGGATATGGGATGGTTAGATCCCCAGCTCAGAGTGTACCTGGGGATATGGGATGGTTAGATCCCCAACTCAGGCTGTACATGGGGATATGGGATGGTTAGATCCCCAGTTCAGGCTTCACATGGGGATATGGAATGGTTAGATCCCCAGCTCAGACTGTACCTGGGGATATGGGATGGTTAGATCCCCAGTTCAGACTGTACCTGGGGATATGGGATGGTTAGATCCCCAGTTCAGACTGTACCTGGGGATATGGGATGGTTAGATCCCCAGCTCAGACTGTACCTGGGGATATGGGATGGTTAGATCCCCAGCTCAGACTGTACCTGGGGATATGGGATGGTTAGATCCCCAGTTCAGGCTGCACATGGGGATATGGGATGGTTAGATCCCCAGCTCAGACTGTACATGGGGATATGGGATGGTTAGATCACCAGTTCAGACTGTAGCTGGGGATATGGGATGATCAGATCCCAGCTCAGACTGTACATGGGGATATGGGATGGTTAGATCCCCAGTTCAGACTGTACCTGGGGATATGGGATGGTTAGATCCCCAGCTCAGATTGTACATGGGGATATGAGATGGTTAGATACCCAGCTCTCAGATCCCCAGCTCAGACTGTACATGGGGATATGGGATGGTTAGATCCCCAGTTCAGACTGTACCTGGGGATATGGGATGGTTAGATCCCCAGCTCAGACTGTACCTGGGGATATGGGATGGTTAGATCCCCAGCTCAGGCTGCACATGGGGATATGGGATGGTTAGATCCCCAGCTCAGACTGTACATGGGGATATGGGATGGTTAGATCACCAGTTCAGACTGTACCTGGGGATATGGGATGGTTAGATCACCAGCTCAGATTGTACATGGGGATATGGGATGGTTACATCCCCGGCTCAGACTGTACCTGGGGATATGGGATGGTTAGATCACCAGCTCAGACTGTACATGGGGATATGAGATGGTTAGATCCCCAGTTCAGACTGTACCTGGGGATATGGGATGGTTAGATCCCCAGCTCAGACTGTACATGGGTATATTGGATGGTTACATCCCCGGTTCAGACTGTACATGGGGATATGGGATGGTTAGATCACCAGCTCACACTGTACCTGGGGATATGAGATGGTTAGATCCCCAGTTCAGACTGTACATGGGGATATGGGATGATTAGATCCCAGTTCAGACTGTACCTGGGGATATTGGATGATTAGATCCCAGCTCAGACTGTACATGGGGATATGGGATGGTTAGATCCCCAGTTCAGACTGTACCTGGGGATATGGGATGGTTAGATCCCCAGCTCAGATTGTACATGGGGATATGAGATGGTTAGATACCCAGCTCTCAGATCCCCAGCTCAGACTGTACATGGGGATATGGGATGATTAGATCCCCAGGTCAGACTGTACCTGGGGATATGGGATGATTAGATCCCAGCTCAGACTGTACATGGGGATATGGGATGGTTAGATCCCCAGCTCAGACTGTACATGGGGATATGGGATGGTTAGATCCCCAGCTCTCAGATCCCCAGCTCAGACTGTACATGGGGATATGGGGGGAAAAAGTACAAAAATTTGTACTTTACTAAGAAAGTGTAATCCCAAATATAACATATGTTACATTTGATCACTTTCTAAATGGCATTGTGTAATCATAGCTTTCGGCCGTGGGAGCCGTGCCAATTAACACTTACCAGAGGGGTACACAAAACCCGCAAACTAGACTACCAGTTGTCCAACTTCCATTTTTGTGGAAGTCGCGGTAGCTGAGTGGGTTAGGCGGCTGACTTTGTGTGCTGGCGATTAGGTGCCTGACTCTTAGGGTGTGAGTTCGAATCCCGGATGGGGCTCAACTAAAAAAGTACTAGAGTTTGTACTTTAATAAGAGTGTGTACTCCCAAATATAACATATGTTATAAGATACAGATTGTTTCTAAACGCCATAGATTCCCTGATATGCTCACCCGGGCTTGTAGGCTTGTAGGTTACCATCCTGGATCTCGAACCAAGATATCCCCACGTTCATGGAGATAAGACCAACACTGGTCACAAGGGACTAAGTCTACGCCAAAGCTTAGTACTTCTAAACTCTTCAAGTCAGCATTACATACTGAGCCGTATGTACAACGTCCACGTTACTCAAGAATCATACTAGCATCCTTAAGATGTGGTTCCTTGAAGCTTGAGGTAGAAACGGGCCGCTATAGTAACACACCAATCCCATCAAATCAACCATTTTGTATATTCTGTTTGAACTGCCTTGAAGATGAAACCAATCCGGGTTCGAACCAACACCCTCAGAGTCAGGCACCTAATAACCAGCACACAAAGTCAGCTGTCTCACCACTCAGGCATGTACCACTTTCTATATGGCATTGTGTATTCATGGTTTTCATGTAGCCAAATATAATCGTGGTCAGTAGCATGTTAAAGTAGTGAGTCAACAATCAGTTTTTACTTTTCTCCTGGTATTACATTTTTGACATTTAAATGGTGAAGGACGAAGTGATGAAAGAAAAAACGTTAGTGCTTCACAGGAACTCATGAAGAAAACTGTGTTCTCCAGTGATACAGAACCAAACCTTATACTTGATCAAAGTATGTCTTCTGGAGACCCATGCATCCATGTATATACAGTGTATTAAATATGCCAAAAGCACAGCCAGATATCAAGGCTGGTCACTTCAAAATATATGCTGAATTTACTCAGATGTATGGAACATCTAAAACGTTTTACCAGACCATCAGGCTGGCTAGCTGTAAATTTAGTCAGTCTGTCGGAAATCTAGACCGTCTCGGGGCTGTCGGACGGGCCTTATTTCATACGTTGATATATACAGTGCTGATAGTCTTGGTTTGGCTATAACTGGATGCGATGAAATAGGACTGCACGGTATTACCCGTATACCAGTATCGCAATACGCTTTTCAAACAATACGCATTGCAATATATTTTCTGAGAACCGGTATATTGGGTAAAGAACATACATGTATATGAAGTTTTATGATTATCGTCATGGTATAAATCAAAATCTACACATACTTTCATTAACAATAAATGTTCTCCTTCGTTATTCAATGACAAAACGGCATACTGTGATACTATAAATTGTATAAAAATGGAAATAGAATCCATGAATATGCCACCCAGTTTTGAGATTTTCAGAACGATAGCATATATGTTAAGGGGCTTATAATGTAGTAAATATGATTGACATGCACACTTAGTGTCACCCACTGTCAAACACTTAAGCTCCCAATATACCGCAATAAATATCGCAATATGGGTACCTGAATCGCAATATATTGCAATATATTATTTACCCAATACACAGCCCGACCATGCAATGATGATAATGATGATGATGATGATGATGATGATGATGATGATGATGATGATGATGATGATGATGATGATGAAGATGACGATGAAGATGATGATGACAAACTGAATGTAATTGTTTCGGGTAATTTTTCAGTTCATGCTGAGTTGTAAGTAATACAAAAAGTAACAGACTTAATGTAAATACAGTGAGACCCCGGGTGCCCGGACCCCAGATATCCGGATGTGTCCGGGCATCCCCATGTACATGTCAAGATACAGTTACCACTGAGTAACACACTTCACAAGCCCCACTGTCAGAAATAAGGGACATTAGCAAACTCCAATAGGAACCTTTTATCTAATGGACTTCAAAGTAGGTGTCAATGTGCCAAACTTTATGAAAACCAGTTTTGAAAGCTTATGGAAAATACTGATTTTTTAAAACAAAAATATGATATCTGATAACTCAGATTGCCACAAACAGGCTCAACAGACAGGTCTGGCCACTAGTGCAGCACTGGGAACAGCTCTAATGCCTGGCCAAAATACAGGTAAACAGGGGTATCTCAACCTTTCCATGGAACAAAATGTTTTCACAGTGGCATTATAGGGTGCATGCCATCTCTGTCTCCTGTCAAGTTGGTCTGAGGTGTCTGGAGATGTCGGACATGGACCGTAGTTCACAATAGCCCACCCACTGTAGAGCTACAATACTGACGTTGATCAAATTTGCAAACTAGCATTATGTTTCTATGCGTTATCATATCTTCTTCACGAGATTAAAATATATCAAAAAGTTAATACACTGATATGATACAATTTGTCACCACTCAACAGAACATAGCTTGTAAAACACTCCTACCACAACACTCGCCGGCCGCCCCCTGTCTGTGTCAGGTAAACAGGAGATAGTGACAGTCAAGTCAGGTGACGCTACCTGAGCAGGTAAGCTGACAGGTAACAAAGAGCAAATCACTGTGGCCCATATGCAACAATCACTACAACCTGTGTGGGTACACGCTAGATTTTGTCACATTTCTTGTCCATTTTGATTCTTGTGTAGCTCATCAACAAATTTTCAAAGCCAGCAATTCAACCTTATACATTTTGTGGGTTAATGATTTGATATTTTTATCAATTTTCATAACCATTTGGGTCCTGACTGTGGTCAATCTGAGCTTGACCAGTATGGTCAGTTGCCATAGTAACTTTAATAAAACATTGAAAAGGTCAAAACACAAGGAAAAATGTTTCCAGGTGCACTCTTCTTAATTCAATGACAATGAACACAAGACCTGTGTTCAACTTTTTATTTCAATATCATTAGCTTCTGACGACAATAATGAGACGAGCAGTGTTCACGAATAGCGTCTGACCCTCTGACAAATCTGGCAGATTCGAAAAAGGTACATCAAGACTGGGACATAGTAACGTTCAGATCTACATCAGCACAGGGACATAGTAACGTTCAGATCTACATCAATACAGGGACATAGTAACGTTCAGATCTACATCAGCACAGGCACATAGTAACGTTCAGCTCTACATCATGACAGGCACATAGTAACGTTCAGATCTACTTCAAGACAGGGACATAGTAATGTTCAGATCTACATCAGCACAGGGACATAGTACCGTTCAGACCTACATCAAGACAGGGACATAGTAAAGTTCGGATCTACATCAAGACAGGGACATAGAAGCGTTCAGACCTACATCAAGACAGGGACATGGTAACGTTCAGATCTACACCAAGACAGGGACATAGTAACGTTCAGATCTAAATAAAACAAAGGGACATAGTAACGATCAGATCTACATCAAGACAGGGGCATAGTAAAGTTCAGACCTACATCAAGACAGGGACATAGTAAAGTTCAGATCTACATCAAGACAGGGACATAGTAACGTTCAGATCCACATCAAGACAGGGACATAGTCACGTCAGACCTACATCAAGACAGGGACAAAGTAACGATCAGATCTACATCAAGACAGGGACATAGTCACGTCAGACCTACATCAAGACAGGGACAAAGTAACGTTCAGGCCTTCATCAAGACAGGGACATAGTAACGTTCAGATCTACATCAGCACAGGGACATATTAACGTTCAGCTCTACATCATGACAGGGACATAGTAACGTTCAGATCTACATCAAGACAGGGACATAGTAACGTTCAGATCTACATCAGTACAGGGACATAGTAACGTTCAGGCCTACATCAAGACAGGGACATAGTAACGTTCAGACCTACATCAATACAGGGACATAGTAACGTTCAGACCTACATCAAGACAAAGACATAGTAACGTTCAGACCTACATCAAGACAGGGACATAGTAACGTTCAGACCTACATCAATACAGGGACATAGTAACGTTCAGACCTACATCAAGACAGGGACATAGTAACGTTCAGACCTACATCAAGACAGGGACATAGTAACGTTCAGACCTACATCAAGACAGGGACATAGTAACGTTCTGGTCTACATCAAGACAGGGACATAGTAACGTTCACATCTACATCAAGACAGGGACATAGTAACAAAATCTGTTGAGTTGAGTCGTGCTAGAGTTTCTGGAACGTGTTCCTTCTCTGGATGTTTCACATAGGACATGCCCTGTGAGAGTTGAGGATACAGTGATGAGGAGGTGTTATCCCGGCTTGTGGTGATCCTCCCGCTGTGTCAGTCTTCCTTCTCCCACCACCCCACCTGCTGCCTAGCTTTGAGGCGCAGAGCCGTGTAGATGTGGACGTGTTCTTCCTGCCCGAGAGCCACGTAGTCAGCTGCAGAATCAGACCTGTTGCTTGGCACCGGCAAGATGGCACCCTCGTCATTAGCTGTAGCATCAGACCTGTGGCCTGGCACCGGCCATCTGGCACCCTCGTCATGAGCTGTAGCGTAGTGCTGCTCGCTTGTAGCAGAAGATTCTCTGTTGATGTGACCATATTTGTTTTTGTTTCAGCCAAGAAGCCAACGCTTATGGGCACATGAGTTACAAACGGTTAATACTGGAGCAATTACAGACCCACTTTCTCGAAATGGCATAACACTAAGATAAATATAAACTATATGTCTATCATAAATTTGAAACCACAGAAGATAATAAATAAAAACTATTTAAAAAATCATTAAAGTATTTATATTGTAATTATTGCTAGTTTTCGCTAACTAAAGTGAGAAACGTTTCCCTGAAAGATTTGTAAGTGATTATTATGTCATATTGTCCTTCATAGATTATGTTATTGAGCCCAGTCCTAAATGAAGAAATCAGACATTTTTCATATATTTGTACCATGCATTAATTGTATTTCTGTGGTAGATATAGGTCATGGGTACCTCATGTTTGAGTAGGACACCCTGGCACCCTCGACGTGGACTGTAGCGTTGGGGGACTCGCTGCTGGCTCTGTTGTTCAGTGCAGTCAGGTGGGCAGCATACCTGGAGACGACATACATGCACTGATAGAAATATATGTATGTTTATTCTGACAAAACAATATTTTGATACAATGTAACACACCCAAACATTTAGGTAGTTAAACGTTCAAATATATATTATTTTTATGTGAGTGTATATGTGCGAAAGCAGTGTGTGTGATTTTGTGTGTGAAAGCAGTGGTCATATGAGAACGCAGTGTACATAAGTGTGTGTATCTCTGTGAAATATTATGTGTTTGTGTGTGTGAAAGGAATAAACAGGTGAACACTTTATCAAACCGTTTTTATTCGACAACATGCACATTTGACTGTGCAGAAAACTTCAAGCATTTTGTACGATTAGTATGATAGACTAATTATGTAGAACTTTTATATGCATGTTACATGAAGTTTACAGGTTGATCCTTTAGAAAGGTGCATTTGTTCCAGTCAGTTATCCAATATGTTACTTACCTTAATTTCCGTTTTGCTGAAAAGTAGAGAAGGAAGAGTTTTATTACACGAAATTACAGAGTAGTAGGCAATTCAGTCTGTGCATTCATCGACAGTCAGCGTTTATCCTTGTCTCTGTTAGTACTTCCTCGCCTAACGACCACTGTCCTTTCGGTCCTGAGTTCAACCTTCCTGCTAGTGTGGTGATCTGCCATCAGTTGCTGGTGATCTACAGCCCGTATTTTAATGGTAGTTAATTTAACCTTTGTGTAAAATAGAATATTGCATTTTTTTAAATGGTTAGTTTTCAGACATAAATTGTGATAATCTTGCTAATTTATTATTGTTTTTTTTGTGACAGATATTAAAAATACTTATCATAACTCGCGTAGTCATTATGTTGCTGAAATATTGCTGAGGTGATCTTAACTCACTCACTCACAACATCCTCCTTCCTACCTCTCAGACTCCTGCATCGACGTATTCCATAGACCAGCACCACCACCAACAACAACCACAGCACCGCCACAGCAGGTACCAGAAGGGACAACATGGGTGTGTCTGGAGACAGCGATAGATGCATTACGTCAGAAACATGTGCTGCAATTTCACTATCTGTAGGGCAGCTGCATTATCAGTAAGTTTATTATCTCCCGCTTGATATTGCTGAAATATTGCTAAATGTGACATTAACGTAAACTCACTGTAAGTAAGGTAATATGAATAAATTTCAAAGTTTGCACTGTTCATCATCAAAGACATTTGTTACATTTAAGCTAACAAAAATCCACCTCTACGCCATTACAATATGACACAAGTTATCTTATCTCGAAGGAAATTTGGGTTACATCAGCACAAGGTCTCAAATATTAATCTTGTTAACACAATAAAAAAATTAGTAATACGTAATTAACATTAAAATTGACACCAGCGATTGAACGCTCAGCAAGTCTTCATAACAACTCGTGTAAACCCGGTACTACTTAGTTCGAATTTCCGACCCTGTTTGTTCGGGCAATGGACACATGACACTCTGAATGTAATATTACATTTGATATCCAGACAGACGCTAATGATTCCCAAACAGTAAGCTTACGCTAAGAGTACAATTCCTAAAACAAATTTAACATCTGGATTTAAACATGAAATACAAGATATGAGGTGAGTTGGAATGGGTGAAAGATTAGTGCTCTTATATCGAGACGTGCACGCCGAACGGCCAGCAGGGAAAAAGACATGATATGATATGATATGGTATGATATGATATGTTACTTGGTTTATCAAGCTTCAGATTCCTCCACGCGTTCCCATGTGTGTTGTAGACATGACACATGTACTGTCCCGATCTGTCAACAGCTGGCGTAGACAACACAGCCTCCCTGTGTCCTGTAACCAGCCTGTGTCTGGATGTGTTCCACCAGGTTACAGTGCAGGCAGGGTTACAGTCAGCGGAACATCTCACTGTGAGAGGGGCACCTGCTGCAGCAGTCACTGTACTGGTTGTTCCATTGAACAGGATCTGCTCTGGTCCATCTGAACAATACGAACGTTTAACCAATATTTTGACAATCCGATAAGTGAGCTTGCTGTCGATATTCTAATTCAAACCGTTATTACATCTTGAAGATAACAGCCTCTCATATTTTACAAATATCGATGATACCTGGTGAAATAGGAATTGGATGATGCTATAAATAAATAGAGAGATAAATAAATAAATAAATAAATAAATAAATAAATAAATAAATAAATAAATAAATAAATAAATAAATAAATAAATAAATAAATAAATAAATAAATAAATAAATAAATAAATAAATAAATAAATAAATAAATAAATAAATAAATAAATAAATAAATAAATGAATGAATAAACAAATAACAAACAAACAAATAAATAAATACTGCATTCGGTCGTGTCAGCACCAAGATAGTAAGTACGTCAATATGGAACAGTGTTTAAAGGCACAGTCTTGACCTATTCTGCTGAAGGTGGACAACACAGATCACGGATTCACTCACACTGAACATCCAGGTCGTGTCCGTGACTCCAGTCAGACTCCAGCCCCTCCTCCACAGCCTGACAGCTGTAGTTGCCGCCCCCCTTCTTGCTGATGTGTCTCATAGTGAGGTTCGGCCCGGCTACATGAACGTCTTCCTCTCCTTGAATCTTCTCACTGTTCCTCCTCCAGATGTAGGTCATGGTCAGAGGGTGGTCCGGGGGGAGACTCCGGGAGGAGGAGGAGCATGTCAGGGTGACACGCCCACCTGAGACAGCTGATGTAGCACCAGTGATGTTCGTTGTTGAAGGTTTCTCTGTAATGACAGAAAACATCGGCATTTACCCTGGGTAGATGATCCAGATGTGGGAGTGTTCTCGAGTAAATGATACAGTGTGACAGGTCCAGTCAGGACAACTAACTCTATTCTCCTTTTAGAAAAAAAAAGAAAACATAAAATCCAATAACAATAAAAGGTTTCAAGCAGTGGCACACCGTGACGTGTCTCTCGGCAAAGTTGTCGTTAAATCATATTTAACTGGATATAATGTAATGTTTCCAGTACAAGTGAGGCAGGTCCTGTAAGTGTAGGTGTATTGTTTCTCAAACAGTATTGTTAGTTTTACATGTTAAACCACAGTACTCGGACAACAACACGAGTGCTCATAAATAATGTTTTACAATGACTTTTCGAATCGCCCTGACACTGTAGTAGTCCAAACTGCTTATCATCAATGACCTAGCTAATAACCAGTATAATAGTTGTGAGACATGTGGTTAATTACAACACAGGTGTTACAACACTACACGGGCGATGGACGCTGCCCATCTGGAGAACATGGTGTTTTGTAGAGTAGAGTACACATAGTGGGAGTTAATGGACCTTACTACTTTCACAAAGGCGACTTGCTCCACATTTCCATGTTGATCACGTGACAGTCAGTTGTATAACGATACCTCATCATCACTGTCTATGTGTCTTCAACGTGACACGGGTCAGACACGTGTAGTTTTAAAAACTGATTTACATCAAACGCATTTCATATGAGTTGATTAATACTTCCTTATGTTGTGAACACATATTTTTCGCAAAAGTAGCCTGATGTCATGACGTTTACTAAACAAAATTGAGCTATTTGTCTTCCAAATTCATAACGTTTGATATTTGGTCAAGATTTATCACTAGCTACATAAGCTCTGTGCCGTTTATAGAATGTGGCGGTATTTCTACGTGGAAACGCATGCTAATGTTGAAACAGACACTTTATTGTTCTGTGGCTAATAATTCCCCAATACATGCATATGACTCCCATTTAAAGCACACTATTTCCCTTCTCGTTATTCGTATCCACATTCCACATGTATGGCTTACAGATAACGGTTATTCATGCTATTTGAAAACTCTATCTAAGTGTGATAAACAATTGGGCAAGTGGTCTGATGTGGCGCTATGCACTGTTCAGGGTGTGCTTTGGTCACGTTAGAGTCCTCGGGGTCGCTCCAATAACGTATATACGTTTGTCAAACATATAGCGTTTGGGCTTCACCAATGAGGTAACGTCTGAGACATACATCACAATGGGCTGTCTCTACATCAAGCTGGGCCCATTAATAGGCTTTAAGTGATTCCTGAAGGTGGAATTTACATTTTATACAGATACCGTATCCGATTCTCACTCACGTGCAACAACGAGAAGCTGGTCACAGCCAGGTATCCCCTTGTTTGAGTCAAACGGCCAACATACGTAGAGGCCTGCGTCCTCTGTAGTGACATTATACAGTGTAAACCTGAACTCTGATGGGGTGATGCTCACTGGGATGTCTCTGTCTCTGTACCATGTACGGCTGTTGTTCACAATGTCATGCTCAGTGTCAGTTTTTATAAAGAGAAATTCTGTAAAATTAACTAACACGCCGACTTTATACTCTTGTCGAGCCTGGGACGTGTTGAGGGAGATGGTCACGTTATGACCAACACGTGCAACGATGTAATCAGATCCTGTCGTGGCAGACACGAGACATGTAAATAAAACATTATTGTTAATATACGTCCACACAATACTGCACGCACAAAACATTTGACGTGTACAATATATTCCACACTCAATAACATCTGACACAACACCGTTAAAGTTCAGCAAATATATAGTTGTTAATGATGTGTTATGTAATATTTTGTGTTAATATTTCAATGAACAATTACATACCACCAATGCTAGTTAGTGACCGACCAGGCCTTTAAGTCTTTATTATTGTGGGTGTGTCACGTACACGAGTGTCACATCATAATAAATAGATAGCTCAGGTCACAAATCAGTTGAATTTAATCAACGTTGGTCGCGGACAGTTTCTAAGGCTTCAGTCCTCCCCCACAACGAAACACACGTGACACATGTGGTCTCACCCTAGGTAAGAGTGAATGTGTTCATGAATTGCCTCTGTTAACCAAGCAGTAAGTGGGTACCCAGTGGGATAGCTCATATGACTATTAACCTTCTAGGGCCTCACAGGCAGCTTGGGCTATGCGGGAAAATAATGTGCTAGCGCCTTGAGCATGCACACGTGCGTGGAAACAAGCGCAACATAAATAGCCATTATTACGTTATTTCGCTTTTCCTGATATTGTCTTGTACGAGAGGTTATATAAATACATATCTCACTCAGCGCAGTCGTCTTTGTCATTATAACGAACCTGTATGGGAGTTTTGCAGAAACTGTGTCCACTAATTTGTCAGTTCAACATGGATGCAATTGGTGTGCCGTATTCTCAAGAGTGACGCACTACCAGGGCTCAGCTTCCCGGTGAATCCAACATGTTTTTCAAGCGTGTGTATGTGAAGGAAGTATTATTAACCATGTGACGGTCATACAGTTGATGAGATGCAGCGTCTTCTCTTGTAGAGGTCGGGTACCCGTGTAGTTTTGTCTCACCAAGAACCCCACATTGGTGTCATGCGTCAGGTACATCTCTGTATACCCCTACAGCGATCTACACGTTTGATTACACGATGTATAAATATGTATGTATAAATACAACACATTATACTATAGACATTGTACTACATTACGTACACACACACACACACACACGACACGTGGAAACAACCAAAGACAGATACCTACCAAACAAGTACAATCCTGCAGCCACATTGTAGAACATAGTCACCAGCTTGCTGAGTTAACACTGAGAGCGCTCAGCTCTTGTAGTGATTTGCCGTGAATACGTCCGTAAATTTGGTTTCACTTGCTGATATTCTCCTTTCAAATGAATATCTCTATGTGTGTACTGAAACCAGAACTGACTGACCCCGTGTAGGATACTGGGAGCAATATTTGATACTTTTGAATGTATAGTACAGTATAGTACAGCGCAGTATAGTACAGTGTAGTACAGCGCAATATAGTACAGTATGGTAGAGTATAGTATACAATGTAGCATAGTGCAGTGTAGTATAGTACAAAATAGTACAGTGTAGTATAGCGCAATATAGTACAATATGGTACAGTATAGTATACAATGTAGCATAGTGGAGTGTAGTATAGTACAGTACAATTATAGTATAGTATAGAACAGTATAGTACAGTATAGTATAGTACAGTACAAAACAGTATAGTATAGTGTACTATATAGTATAGTTTAATAAAGTATAGTGTAGTGTAGTGTAGTAAAGTATAGTATAGTATAGTATGGTACAGTAAAGTACAGTATAGTATAGTATAGCATAGTGTACAATATAGTATAGTCAGTAATGTCTAGTATAGTATAGTACAACACAATATAGTATAGTATAGTGTACAATATAGTATAGTCAGTAAAGTCTAGTATAGTATAATAGAAAACAGTATAGTATAGTGTACAATATGGTATAGTCAGTAAAGTCTAGTATAGTATAGTACAAAACAGTATAGTATAGTGTACAATATAGTATAGTCAGTAATGTCTAGTATAGTATAGTACAAAACAGTATAGTATAGTGTACAATATAGTATAGTTAGTAAAGACTAGTATAGTATAGTACAAAACAGTATAGTATAGTGTAAAATATAGTAAAGTCAGTAAAGTCTAGTATAGTATAGTACAACACAGTACAGTATAGTATAATGTACAATATAGTATAGTCAGTAATGTCTAGTATAGTATAGTACAACACAGTACAGTATAGTATAGTGTACAATATAGTATAGTCAGTAAACACTAGTATAGTATAGTACAAAACAGTATAGTATAGTGTACAATATAGTATAGTCAGTAAAGTCTAGTATAGTATAGTACAATACAGTACAGTATAGTATAGTGTACAATATAGTATAGTCAGTAATGTCTAGTATAGTATAGTATAGTACAACACAGTCTAGTATAGTATAGTGTACAATATAGTATAGTCAGTAAAGACTAGTATAGTATAGTGGTCTTCCACAACTTGAGAGGGTACGACACTCACTTAATCATGCAGGCCATCGCGAAAGTCGACGGCAACCTGACGTGCATCCCCAACAACATGGAGAGAAACATCTCCTTTAGCTTGAATGGTCTGAGGTTCATCGACTCGGTTCAGTTCCTCATGTCACCACTCGACAGTCTGGTCAAGACCAACGATACCTTCCCCATTACCGACCGATACACCGACGCCGAGACTCGACCCCCGATGATGAGGAAGGGCGTGTACCCCTAAGAGTACATGGATGGTTGGGCCAAGTTCGCCGAGACCCGACTGCCTCCTATCAACCGATTTTACAGCAAGCTGACCGACTCGACAATATCCCAAGACGATTACTCGCTCGCGATTAACGTATGGAATAAACTGGCCTGCAAGAATCTGGGTGACTACCACGACATGTACTTGAGGACAGATGTACTCCTGCTAGCCGACGTGTTTGAGACGTTTAGGAGGACGTGTTTTAAGCAGTATCAACTGGACCCCGCATGGTATTACACCAGCCCAGGTCTGTCGTGGGATGCCTTGCTTAAAAAGACCGGAGTTAAGTTGGAATTGCTTACAGATTATGACAAGCACCTATTCATTGAGAAAGGCTTGCGAGGCGGGATCTCCATGGCAACCAAGCGATACGCGAAAGCAAATAATCAATACGTGAAAGGCTACGACCCGAGCAAGCCAACCAATCATATTCTCTACCTCGACGCCAACAACCTGTACGGCTGGGCCATGAGCCAGTATCTACCCACAGGTGGATTCGAATGGGCATCACCCGAGATCGATGTTATGAGCATCGCGCCTGATTCGAACAAAGGCTATATCCTCGAGGTGGACTTGGAATACCCCAAGGCATTACACACATCACACAACAGCTACCCCCCTGGCCCCAGAACATATGAAGGTTTACCCAGACTGGATGTCTGAGTACCAACATAACTTGTTAGGTGGGCGGGTGGCAGACGTTGAAAAACTAGTGCCCAACTGAATGAATAAGACCAAGTACATCGTTCACTATCGCAACCTACAGCTGTACCTGTCGTTGGGTATGAGACTGACCAAAATACACAGCTGTAGGTTGCGATAGTGAACGATGTACTTGGTCTTATTCATTAAGTTCATAACATCGATCTCGGGTGATGCCCATTCGAATCCACCTGTGGGTAGATACTGGCTCATGGCCCAGCCGTACAGGTTGTTGGCGTCGAGGTAGAGAATATGATTGGTTGGCTTGCTCGGGTCGTAGCCCTTCACGTATTGATTATTGGCTTTTGCATATCGTTTGGTAGCCATGGAAATCCCACCTCGCAAGCCTTTCTCAATGAATAGGTGCATGTCGTAATCGGTGAGCAAATCCAACTTAACTCCGGTCTTTTTCAGCAATGCATCCCACGACAAACCTGGGCTGGTGTAGTACCATGCGGGATCCAGTTGATACTGCTTAAAACACGTCCTCCTAAACGTCTCAAACACGTCGGCTAGCAGGAGAACATCTGTCCTCAAGTACATGTCGTGGTAGTCACCCAGATTCTTGCAGGCCAGTTTATTCCATACATTAATCGCGAGCGAGTAATCGTCTTGGGATATTGTCGAGTCGGTCAGCTTGCTGTAAAATCGGTTGATAGGAGGCAGTCGGGTCTCGGCGAACTTGGCCCAACCATCCATGTACTCTTAGGGGTACACGCCCTTCCTCATCATCAGGGGTCGAGTCTCGGCGTCGGTGTATCGGTCGGTAATGAGGAAGGTATCTTTGGTCTTGACCAGACTGTCGAGTGATGACAGGAGAAACTGAACCGAGTCGATGAACCTCAGACTATTCAAGCTAAAGGAGATGTTTCTCTCCATGTTGTTGGGGATGCACGTCAGGTTGCCGTCGACTTTCGCGATGGCCTGCATGATTAAGTGAGAGTGGTACCCTCTCAAGTTGTGGAAGACCACTATACTATACTAGTCTTTACTGACTATGCTATATTGTACACTATACTATACGATACTATACTGTGTTGTACTATACTATACTATACTAGACATTACTGACTATACTATATTGTACACTATACTATACTATACTGTGTTGTACTTTACTATACTAGACATTACTGACTATACTATATTGTACACTATACTATACTGTACTGTGTTGTACTATACTATACTAGACTTTACTGACTAAACTATATTGTACACTATACCATATTGTTTTGTACTATACTATACTAGACATTACTGACTATACTATATTGTACACTATACTATACTGTTTTCTATTATACTATACTAGACTTTACTGACTATACTATATTGTACACTATACTATACTGTTTTGTACTATACTATACTAGACATTACTGACTATACTATATTGTACACTATACTATACTATACTATGCTATACTGTACTTTACTGTACCATGCTATACTATACTATTCTATACTTTACTACACTACACTACACTATACTTTATTGAACTATACTATATAGTACACTATACTATACTGTTTTGTACTATACTATACTGTACCATGCTGTACTATACTATACTATAATTTTACTGTACTATACTGCACTCCACTATGCTAC